GTTCTAGTTTCACTTCTCTGCTCCGTCTGGGACTTCTCCCATTCAGATGATTTCACTGGCAGGTTTTTAACTGAACCAATCAGAGAACAGAATGTTGACGTTCTGCTCAGTGTCTGCTAGTTATTTTAGCATACAGCAGTGGAGGAAGTGAATGAAGCCAGTCTGTGTTGATAAGACTTCAAATTAAAATAAATTAGTCTGACAAAGCAGCAGCTCTCATTTACAGTCGTCTCGTTCAGCTCCGTATATTTCTCCTCTCAGTAGGGTTGTTTACAGCACACGTGATTTCTGGTTAGCTTCTTAGCTTAGCCTCCATCACAGCGATATACGTCACAGCCAACTGATCCAATCATTTTAAACTTCAGCAGAGGCCACGCCTCCTGGAAGAATCACTTCTCTATGCATCAAGTCCAGACCCTTGTACGAAGCAAAGTGAAGGACAGGGTCTGGTTTTAACCAGGCTACCCCGGACCCTCAATTTATCTGAAAAAGGGGTATCTGGACATAAAAAATTGGTTATTGCTCAAAAACTATTAAACATAGGAGCTTCAGATTTTCTTTGGTTATTTAGCACTGATGAGGGACTATCAGTTCAACCGATGCCCCACCCCCCACCCAAAAAAAGACCCCCACCCAAACCACTACAATTTTGGGATGCACCTAGTAGCATGACATTTATTAGGAATAAAGACTTCTGAGTTCTGGTGCATTTGTGCGTGCGGGGGTCATTATGTTACCGCTATGCGGTATCTAGTTATCTCCGTCTTCTTCTGCTTATCTGTAGTTGGATCGTGAAGGCAACAGGTCCAGAAGAGAAACCTAGACCTCCTTCTCCCCAGCGACACTTTCCAGCTCATCCTGTGGGACCCCGGGTGTTTCCAGGCCAAAGAGGATACATAACCCCTCCAGCGAGTCCTGGGTCTTCACCAGGGCCTCCTACTAGTGGGATGTGCCCAGAACACCTCTAAGGATGCCCGAATGAAGACAGACCAGTTAATCTGAGTCTCTCCTAGAGAACTGAAGTTCTCACTCTATGTAAGGAGAGTTCAGCTACCTGCAGAGAAAACTCATTTTTACTCTTTCTATGTGTGATCTTGCTCTTGTGGTCACTACCCAGAATGTTACCACAGGTGAGAGTAGGAATGTAGACTGACCAATGGACTTCACCACAACAGACCAGCACAGATCCATCACTCTCATGCTCCTTTCTTCCCTCATTCATGGACAAAATTCTGAGATATTTGAACTCCTCCTCTTGAGGCAGAACGACTGAACACCATGGACTCAGATATGGAAGTGCTGATGATCACCATAACACTAATAGAACCACATCATCTGCAAATAGCAGAGTTGAAATCCTGAGGTCACCCATTAGACCAGTGGTTCTCAAACTTTTTATCTTCTGACCCACAAAATATCCATGGCAAAAACTTGTGACCCGAAATATTTCTGGTCTGAGTACACGAACTTCGTTAATAACCCTAAACACACAGGCTTTTTGACAATCTAAGCAGCTTATACACAAATATAAATACTTATTTATACTTTTGTGTTTTTGTAATAATTATAGGGAAAATATTACATCAGCAATTATTTTATTTCCCTTTAAATTGATTTCTGGAGATTATCCAAGGTGCTTCATGACCCATAATTGGGTC